ATATCTTTAGTAAACCACAAGCGACATACGGATATGTCATACAGAGTTACTGCCTTTTCTTCGGTCTAACAACTATACATATAGGCCTACTGCAGCAATATTTTCACAAGTTTGCCCAACCATGTTCTATTTTCTCTATGTCCCAACCTACCATGCATTATCTTCACAATTTGAATTACAATAACGTGTTGTCACATTACGAAAGCCAGTGTTTATGACTCAATTGACTAAATTGCAGTGTATTAAAACAATATTACTACGTCGGTCTATGATTTCTAGCACAAAAATGTTACCAAACCTCGCTTATAACCACGCTGGTAGTTCTACTTTCTTTTTTTTTTCACTTGTCACGAACGATTCGTTTAATCAGGCAACAGTGAAATTTAACTGTTCCCTTGTTTAATGTAAATGTCGATTGTAGTAATCAAAATTGCGAATACGGTTACGTCAACAAATTGTTAGACCACCCTTTCTCCACACAGCTGCATATCTGTCTCAATGTAGGCAATTCATACCTTTGCATGAATCAAGGAACATATTGAACTCGTAGGCCTACAGCATATTGCCAAGAATGTTTGAGGCACGAATGATATAATGATAATGACGTATTTGTATTCGTTATCGTTTTCGAAATGTTCCGAAATCTCACTAATGAGTGCGTAGCGACAGGCAACATCGCGTAGTAACAGCCATTGCAGCGTAGCGGGTGGTAGGGAAAAAAAGGAAAATGATTTTGAAAGTCAACTAATGACGTAACGATTGAGTTGTAACAATAATTAATAATTAATAATTAGTTAATTCATTCATTAATTATATATTAGCTAAAATAGATTTAGTAAGGTCAAGGGTTCGTGTAACACATAAAATTATCCTCAATATTTATAGAATATAGGCTTACATGATGGTATACTATATTCCCAAGGAGTTTAGTAAAGAATGTGTTTGCTCTTAACGATCGGGGTAATAACGATATGGCAATATAGGCATTGGCAAAGCTCATTGTGGTACTGAGGTAGCGGCCTTCACGAGTATGAGAAAAAGGTAACTTCAGAAAACATATTTCGAACAATAATACAGTACCTTATTCACTGAGCAGAATTGTGTTGTTGGACTGAATAAAAGTCGTATGTCGGCTTCTAACAATAGGACTAGGCTTAAATATTATTGAAATTTCGCATGTCAGTTTTCACTAGAGTATTTCCATACAAGTACAGTGTAATACTTCATTCTGGGTTGCAAGTCAAAATATAATACAAGTAAAAATACTAAACCTGCTGAGGACAACAAGAACAGAAGTCGCACGCTATTATTATAACGTTGTCAGACTGTTTTACTGTTGCCCCCGCCAGTGATTAACAATATTGATTCATTATTATGGACGTGTTTTATGCTTTGTGTTATTGTTATGTTAGTCATGAGAGATATTAGGCTATAGAGAGTTATTCTATTATTATATCCATCCTTCCTCCCTTACATTTGATTAAAATTTCAATCCGTTTGGATACCAAAGTGTAAGCATCCCGGTACCACGGTAGTCATATAACACTAGGAATGGTTCAACCAAACGCCTGTTGACTCTGCTTTATTTTTTGTTTCACCATCACACACCAATTGTTCGTTCGCTATTGTATAATTTCATTGATGCTCAAACTGTAGGCTGTCACAAAAGATCCTTGCTGAATGACACATGTGTTTTTGTTTTTTTTTTGTTATAGGCTAGTTTCGATAGCCCAGTATACGAGCGCGATGATGACATAGGATCTAGTACTATTGAAGCCACGACAGAGAATCAGTCACAGCAAATGGATTCTGATGAGTTAAACATTACTAGCACTTCTACACATTCAGATGCGTCGACACTGCCAAAGGATTCACCTGGGCTAAACGGCGTCGACAATAATCAGAATACGGACGATTCGTACGATGACGATGAGCACGAGTACACATACCCTGACGGACTAACTGGTGGCACTTTCGACGCCCCAGCGCCGACGTCTGCATTGATCAACGCAAATAAGACAGAAAACGTGATGTTGAAGGAGGTAGTTATATCTGACAGTCGACACACACAATCGTTACCAGATTATTATGATTCTGCTCCAAGCAAAACAAAACCGTACAAATTCTACGGTAAATTCCATTCAACGTATCGAATCTGCAAGATTTTTGGTTTTATTTTCCTTGCCTTAGCAGTGGTAGCAACTTGTACCATTCTTGTTCTTAGAGGTAGGTTGCAATTATATTGATATTTATTGACGCCATGATTACTAGATTCAAAACTGATTATTATTCCATTACATATGATGTATAGAAATCTAAATTTTGTAACAAAAACCTATCAATAGTGTGATAATGTATATTAACTACTGTATTTAATTAATGTTTAATGAGATAATACGAGATAAGTTAAATTTCTATTGTCCATCGTACCAAGTTGGAAATTCATGGTCCCTTTGGCTTAAAGTACAATAATACACATTAATTAAAGTACATCACAATTCGAATTGCACTAGAAATGTAAATATCAAATTCTTTTATCAAAAGGAATTAGGAAAAACATTTGAAAGAATTGCATCAGATATAGCCATATAAAATTGTAATTATTTGCACTTAAGTCTACCATTAATAATTATTATCACTATCATCATCACTACCATCACCATTATCATTATCATTATTGTAAATGATATGCAACTGATATACGGTAGTGTTTGAGATTATCACATTGGTCTCTGTTTAACGTGCTTGCGTCGAATACAGTGTTGTATCGGCTATCTTATAAAGTGTGAATTCTACTGCTTCAAATTTGGTTTTGTACAGTGTTAGGTTTTTATTTATATTGATTTTGTGAACATTGATAATGCGAATAATACATGGTCACATCACCAATCTAAAGCTTTATCTCCACATGACGCGGTACACCGCATGCTTTGTATTTGTTCTTTCTTTAAAACTAATTCAAATATTATTTTATTTATTTATTTTAGTGAGCGTTGATCATGAAATTTTCGATGATGAAGAAGGATCCACAGTAGTTGCAGTAAAAGAAATGACGTATAGTAAGTGTTTACATTACCAATATCAAATAGAAATAAATCGATGCATTGATCAAATAGGCCTATATTGTAAACTTTAATAGATTATTAGATCATCATCATTGTCACCATCATCATCATCATCATCATCAACCAGAACAATATCATTATCATCACCATTAACATCACTATCACTATCATCATCATATCACCATCATCATTATCACCATCATCATATTTATCATCACCATAAACATCTTTATCTTCATTATTATATCTTTATCATCATCATCATCATCATCATCAACATCAGCATCACCCCAAAACACAAAACGATTAGCTATGACCGTTTAGAAGAGGTTCAACTACTTGTGCAGCTCAACAAATTATCAATAAAATATGAAAAATAATAAGATATGCGCGTGTTGCGATAATTTGCTATTATCAAAACGGTCCGTTATTTGAGGGCGCTGTAATAATGTTTGTAGAGTATAATAATATTAAACGTAGAATGTTGTTCATTATTCCTGTAGATTGCTGTGTTCTTCACTTTAATAAGAATAAATAATAAACTTTATTCTTTTTTAAAAATAGGATTCACCTCATCGATTGCCGTGACACAAATAGGCGGAAACCCAATAGTGTTCTCAGAAGCGTTAAATGATAAAGAATCGGACGAATACATACGCGTTGCAGATGAAGTCCAAAACTCAGTAACTATATATTAGTCATTTTGTTGATTATATGGTCGATTTTAAACGTATTACGGGTATTCATTCAAGTCCGAATTTTAGACTGTAATTTTGCTAAGTGCGTGTCATAGCCCTACACAAACGTACGGTACGTACTGTGCGTATACTCCTGAATAATGAATCATCCGTTGCCAATGTACCGAACTGAAAGCAGTGGCGTCCGGTAACGATGGGGCCAGGGCCCTGTGGCTTTCTAAGTCTGGGGCCCTTTTAGGGTCCCCCGGTCGCCAATTCCATTGTCGGACTTTAGATTTGCTCGTTTTTTTCAATCATGTTTGTCATTGTATTAATGTTTTCAACGACAAAATAAATGATATGATATCAGTGGCGGATCTAGGAATTTGAAATACGGAGTTGGGTGGGGGGGGGGCAGGGAGGGACTCACAGATGTAGGATCTATACCACCTTAGCCTCACCATGGTTGGGTTGACGTAAGACAAGTTATGATTATGGTACCTCTAGGCGGAAATGGTATTCACAGACTTAAAATTTGAATATAATTTTCTTTTTATCTCCATTTAAACAATTTCTTTTTGACAAAATTTAGGGAGGTGGCGGGCCGGCAACCCCCCCCCCCCCCCCCCCCCCCCCACTGGAAATTATATGATGTATGTTTTACATTCGATATAAAAAACACAAGTTGCAGATCCAATAGGCCGCGGGTGCGGGGAGGGACGCTACGGACCGCCGCACCCGAGAGCGCATAATAGGTGTTACATCATTGAGTGAAAAATACCGTATTTAAGATAACACAGCAAGTTGCTTGCCTTGTTTTTGTTATGACTATAGATGATGATTGTAGTATTATTACAGGTATTAGTATTTTTCATCGTCCAAGACGGTGATCTATTACATGTTTCCACTGGAGGACTCCATGATGCAATAGAAACAGAACCACAACAATAGTTCAGTGCACTAGACAGTAAAGCAGTGAATTTAACCAACTGCTGCTTTCTAACAATAATATTACAGATTGAAAGATTCAAATTAGATAAAATAATTTAATGTTGATATCTCTGTATGGTCTTTCTTAATTAACAGTATAATCAATCACTTTATCATTTTAGATGGATGATGTTTACAGAACTGGGGATTTAAGCGATGCATATGAGAGGAGTATAGTCACCAACATTCGGTTTGTTAATTTTTGTTTACATTCTATAGGCTCTTTTCTGTAGCTATGAATCTTATGAGGCGAATTGTATGCCAATTAGGCCTACATATATATATATATATACTGTCTCTTATACACATCTAGATGTGTATAAGAGACAGGAGAACGTAGTACGCTTATGCATGAGTGGACCCATTCTGACGTCACGTCGTCGCGCAAATCGAAAGCTCTCTTATAACTTTACCCACAACGCTGCAACAGCGTTTCCAACATTTCATTTCATTTCTTTAGGCACGAGGGCCAAGGATATGCCAATAAGTGAACTTAATCACTGTCCTACATGCATATCCATTTAACAACAGGGGACTTAATGGACCAGTACACCGGGGTAACCCCTACTCTTCTCGAATGATGTATCGGGTTCTTTAAAGTGCACACGAACCAAATGCGTACACTGGGCCTATCAAATTCCCACGTTATTATAACGTAAAATTGTTAGTTGGGTTCTCCCATCCACTCTACTGGTTTAAAAAAAATCTACAACCATCGGAATTGTTACTCCATTGCGAGATAACAAAGAGTGACACTCACAGGAGCGCCGATTATAGCTAGCATTGTTATTAATGTACACATTTAATGACCCACAAAACCTATTTAACACTACTCATAAAAGGAGAAATTAATCCTTCAAGTCATGTTAATAAAGCGAAACTGCTATAACAAGAACTCGAACTCATTTCCATCAACGAGCTACAATGAAACGACAAATTAGCATTTTTAAAAATCTAATGGAGTTGGCGACTTGTTGTCTTGATAAACTATTGAGTAATAGATAAGATGTCATTATATTCGCACCAAATGCTTGAAAATTGTAAGCCCCACACATTTTTAATAGGGTAAACTGTTCCCGTGAAAGATCGTTACCACGGGTAATTTCAGTGACGAAAGTCAACGCGTTCCTTTGGGGTTTAGTCTCTGAAGTCTGATAGACATGGAATCATGTCATTTGGCCATTTTCATTGAACAAAAGTAGAACAATAAATGACAGGGTGATGATGGAGGAGATACGAATTACGTCGCCATTAGTCGCGTACACGTAAAATGCTCGAATAAGCGCCGCGGCGCTTATGATATTTTTGGAGGCTTCAATGCGGCACAAAACAAAATATTGGCGTGGCGCTTTTCATGCTCGTACCCATGTTACATATCTCACATACCGTAAAACCTTGAATTGAAGCCCTGGGCTTCTTCTTTTGCGAACTTTGGATGGGATTTTTTCGAGGCTTTGAATCAAAAGAAGAAC